TTTCCCTCAGCCCCCTACTGTGCTAAAGGGGATTTGGGAGTGTAAATGCATGGGAGGGGTAAGAGTAAATATGAATTTGTGGGGGGGGAAAAAATTTCTGTTAACTTCGGTATGGCAATGTTGTTGTCTTAAGAAGTAATGTAATTTGTACATATTCATCAGGTAATCAAGATAACCAAAACAGTGGACTATCGACCTATAACCCAAGACCATGAACTGATACATAATACGAACAGATTCACAATTATCTCTTATTTCTTCATCTTTATTCCTCCTGCATTTGCTTTGTTTTTTTAAATATTCAACTTTCAGTAAGATGCATTAGTCTGTCTTTTTGCTTTCTAGACAAACTATGAAAACAGAATATACAGTCTGAAAGTAGAGTGTGGACCTAAATATCCAGAAGCACCTCCAACAGTTAGATTTGTAACTAAAATTAATATGAATGGAATAAATAATTCCAATGGAATGGTAAGTTGAAATGGTAAGACCAACCACCTTGTTAATCTGTGCTGTGAATTTTATCTGGGGAGAAGCCCAGGTGAGGATATGCATGTTGGACAGAGATTTCATATTTAAATTTTGCAACATAGATAAGGTTTAAATAAAATTTTGGTTGCCAACTACATACATTCAAATCTTTAGGTATTTATAATAAATCGGTGGGTTGTCAGTAAGACCTAATAAGCATTATTTACAGTGTTGAAGCACTCTTATTGTGTGCAAAACTAAAAGCTTCAACTTCATTTAAAAAAAAAAAAAAAAGACTATTTAAGGCATATGTAGGTATTTCCCCTTATGAAAAGGGGGTTTGATTCAGATGTGAACAGGAATACTGTATAGGTCAAGACCATTACTTTATTTAGGCAGTAAAAGTTGTTTCAGTATCCAAACTTTATCTGATGTTTTCATTAGTTACAAATAGAGGTTATTCTGCCTTATCCTCACTACTTTAGATGTAGTATCTCCCCTGTAATGAATCAATGTATTTAATTTCTTATTTTCTTTATGTTGGGTTTGTTTGAATCTGAGATGGTTTTGAGCTTCTGTCATAAGGTTTCTTAATATAGATGGTAATCATTCTCATTTCAAAGATCCGTTTGCAGTAAGTTACTTTGACTTACCTCACGCCTAGTGTGGGATGGGTGCACGAAGGTGAGCAATGACACCAGCTCAAGCAGCTGTATTCACTGTATGCTGTATGCACTAAGTAAGCACTGTATGCTTTTATCCTGTGAATGACTCTGAGGTGCCTTGGATCTCAGTGGAGAAGGGGTAAACTGTCTTGCATTTGCAGTGATACATGTGTGTATGAAGAGGAAACAACAATTTATCACCCTCATGTCTATGTGTATGGTTGTCTTCAATGAATGCAAAGTTAATTGAGTTAAGGTAATACTTAGAGATGAGTCAGAGATCTCCGGATTTTAAATATTTTAAAAGAGTCAAAAGAAAGATGGACTTACATTTGAGTAATTATGATACTGACATGTGAAATTTAAGTATCTTATAAGAGTATAGCAGAGAGAAATTCTTAGACATTCATTTGAACTCTCGTAGGTGGTAAATAGTGTGCTGACTGGACATCTAAAGCCAGTGCACTAACATTTCAGAAAGACTTTAAAATTAATTTGAAAGAACATCTGGCATAGCCACCAACTGAACTCCACCTGAAAATTTTAATTCAGTTGTTATCTGCAAATCAGCTGTTGCCCTTTATCTGAACTGTGGCTGGTTATCTAGGTATATATGTTCATGAAGAGGTTGTGGCTAGGCAGAGCTTCCAGTTTGGAATGCAGCAGAGCTTTTTATGTGTTTGTAATATTATTTTGATACCTCCCCCTAGTAACATGTATTATTCTGAATCAGTGAACAAATATGCTCTCATGACTTCATCTGTGCATGCCTGAGAAAATGGATGCTGGTTTCAGGGAGCAGAATCTCAGACCTGCAGAGCCTGAAAACTCAGGTCTACCAACTCGGTTGGCTTGGAGTTTTTGTTGTGAGACATCTAGACTCCCTCACCCTACTGAGGAATAGGGTGAATACTGTGGCCAGAGATCTAACGGATGGTTTTAAAGGCACTGTTGAAATACAGGTTTTTCTACAGGAAGACTTTGATTCTAATAAATTCATAAGTTTATACCAGACCTTCATTCAGTTTTTCCCTCAATAGTTCTATAAACTAGTATATCTTACGAAGGGTTTGCTAGGCAAATGCATAATTTTTTTATATGAATTTCTGTAGGATTAGATTGAATTGTTAATAAAAACATTGTTCAGAACTAAAGAATTTAAAACTCATTAATTATTTAATTCTTAATGTCTCCATCATCCTAGTATCTTGCATTTTAGCTTACTTTGCCATTGTGTTTACTAGAGTTGTGCCAAATCTATCAGATAAACCAGGGCATATTTTACAAATCGAAGCACAGAACTAGGATTTGACTGGCTGAGTTTGTTTGGCTTTGTCCAAACCGGCTTTTTCAGCTTTGGATAGGTAAATTAATACCTGTGTTTCCATAACCGTAAACTAGGTTGAAAACGTGTGTTCTGACAATTAGCAGAATACCTGTTAATGTTATAAAGTTCAGCCATGTAGTCTGTAGTCCTCTAGGCTGTATATTAATGTAACTGAAAATAAAGGTACTAATGAAAGTGTAGAACATCTTTAAGAATCACTAGTTCAGTAAATACTGACAAAATTCACATGCTGAATTAATGTAATATATTCACTGATTTTACCTAGCAAGTGAATTAGTCTTTATTTTCCAGAGGTTCCAAGTATGATGAGCACTCAATTCTCTAGTATTTTCCTCTAAAGTATTTTTTTTCTTTTTTTAAAAACTGTTTGTGAATGCCTACTTCAGAGAGTAACACACTTTTTTTTTCCCCCTCTGTCGTCTTGAATCTGAAACTAATTGCAATTTTAATTTTCAGTCTTTTAAGCATATATTTTAAAAATTGAATTTTAGGTAAGAAATGTTTTATTCATGGTGAGAGTACTGATTACAGTATGTCACATGCTATTTAAATAGTTTTTCATTAAACCTTTTAAACCTAGCTTTAGGAAAATTTTACTAAAACCAGATGTTTTTTAGAAGCTAAAGCATTTCTGATCAAAAATGGGATCCATCTGCCTTAGGTCTATGCGTGTATAATGTCCAGACCTGCTCCAAAATGCTGGAAAGCAAAACATGAAGTATCAATGTTTTATGGATGAAAACACTGGAAGACAAAATAACTTATCCCATATTTCTGAATAAGCTGTTTGGAAAATCAGAAGTTGCACCCAGGTCTCATGAAGCTTACGCTGTTGTCTTGACCACGAGCTCCGATTCTTTTTGTCCTGAAACACTCCTCAACTTCTGTGGAACATTTCACATTGCTGCTTCCTATTTTATAAGTGTCGTCTTGTTTCTTCCCAGCTGCTGTCTTGACTTTCTGATTGTGTTTGATATAATAGATCGTAAATGCTTTCCAGGGTTGGAGATGAGACAGGCTTTTCTCTTCAGATGAACTCTGCCAACCATGCTTCTGCACCCTCTTTTTGACATACAGGCAGCTTTTGATCATGGTTTAGATGTCCTGAAAAACGTTGGTGACTTGCAGAAAAGAGGCTTGAAATAAATGACAGCACAAATTTTATGTTGTAGCAGTGGTATCATACTACTCCAATGCATTTAGAACATTAAGGAATACGTTACAGAAGATGCGTGCCAGTAACACCTGAAGAAAAATAGGACCCCAGTGGTAGTTTAGAGGGTGATGATTTCTGCTGAGTTGGCATGTGAATGATGATCGAAGTGGGGGAGGAGATGGATGTGCACCAGAGTTAACTTTGGTCTAAAGAAGCTAGTCTCAAACTGTTTTATTGGCGGTGATTCTCAGCCTTTTCAACTGAAAAGTGCAGGTCTGCGTAATGAATTTACCCTTACCGACAATGATAGATTTATTGACCTACTGACTTTTTGTTCAGTTGTTTTGAGAGGAGAGTGTTGCTTGTAAATAACTTTTTCATCTTTAGCTGCTCTTCAGGGATCTTGGAGATCACTGGTTGAAAAATGTTTAGTGTAGAAAAAGAGGGGGTTACTTTAAGAGTATTTGTATCAAGAGCATAATGCTAGGTATTCTGAATCACATTGCTTAAGTGCCTTTCTCTTTCAGTCTGCCCGGTTAGTTTTTGCGTTTGTTTGTTTTTTTACTTTGCATATGCAGTTACTGTTGTCTGTTTACGGAATTAGGTTACCAGTTTCAGAAAAGCTAGTCCACGTATGTAAGCAGGGCTGGGCAAAATGCTTTTCTGTGCTAGTAGTGTCACTGTTGTGAAATTCTGTTTAAATTATCATTCTTAATGCAATGAGGTCTTCTCTCTTGGAGACTAGTGCTTCATACAATGAAAAAGCACAGTTTGTGTTCTGGCATGGTACTTATTTTCCCATGGTCTTCCGAGGATGTCACCTTTTTGGATCTGTGAGAGCACTCTGCAGCAGTCTACTTGCAGAATTTGCAGTCACTTCTGTTTGTTTAAATACTGTTTACAGCTGTTTCTTTTAAATTCACTTGTGACTCTGTCAACTATAAATCTGTAAACTGTTGTCCAGTTATTGTTTTGAGTATATTTATAGTAGACTAAGCAGTTTGCTGCTGCTTAAAGTTAAGATATGTGGGATCATTATAAACACTGAACACTTTGCAGCATATTGTGAAATTATTTAGTTACGTTTCAGTTGTGTGGCAAAATTAATGCATTATACACGTTGTTGCTCCTGCTGCTGTTTAAGGGTTTACAATGTACCACCAGACAAAATAGTCTGGAGGCTGCAGTTCTGAGCTTTATTAGCTTTTGTGTGATCTTGAAAATCCTCCTCCTATTATATACCAGGATGCATAGTTTTAATATTAGCTAGATGCTTTGGTTTGAACATGACACGGTTTGTGTAACCCTTCCAAATATCATTGTTCTTCATAAAGTAAATTTGTTGTGTACTGTCTGCATTGGAAATAACCTCTGCAATGCAGAGAATAAAAGCTGAGCCAAAATCTTTACTCAGAAGGCATTCATAACATTGATCAAGAAGAGTTTACAGTCAGACTTTGCTGCTACAAATTCCCAGTCAAGAAAGAGGAGCTACTTTTTATCGTGGAGGAGCTCACTTTTAAGTGATCGACTCTGCTTAGCCCACGTACGTAGAATTGCAGCGTTTAAACAGCACTGGTTGAAAGCTGGTTTAAACAGCACTAAGTAAGTGCTTTAATTGAGGCCAATTCCCCAATCTTGAGAGAGCCTACAAAGGTGAAGTTGAAGAGAAGTGAGGAAAAGGAAGGTGATGTGGAAGCAGAATTGCCAGGCCAAAGGCGGACTTTCATTTTGGGAGTCGCACAACAAATGCCTTTCCAGCTGTTTTCTGCTGACCCAGTCTTCATCTGAACTGATAATTGTATTAAGTTTTCTTCCTCAAACCTGCTGAAATCTAAGCTTACCTTTTGTTCTTATCCTTGCTAATCTACCTAGTCTTCCTTTAAAACAGTTCATTATCATACAGACTTCCACCCTCTTCTCACCCTGCCCCGCCAAGTGCACGTGTCTTTCCTGGTTGGGAATCTTCTGTTGCAAGTATTATCTGGCCCTTGACATCATTTACTATAGTTTCTTTTCCTCCTCTTTTACTTAGATTATTGCTTTCTTGGCAGGCCGGTGACATGTGATGTGATCTGTTCTCAGCTACTTCAGTAGGCAGTGTTGTGACTCAGACTAACATGGAATACGTTTAAACTACTGATCTGTGCCGACAGACTTTATACTAAAGCATTCAGGAAGCAGTCGTATTTTGTTTCATTTTGCTGAAATATAAGAGGATGTCAGGTTGGCTGCAGGAAAGTATTAACAAGTCGGGGGGGTGGGGGGGGGAGAAATAACCCCCTAAACAGGTGCGGTTGCATGCCAAGTGGATGTATGATCTGACCCTCATTTCTTCTGTTTCCATGCTGCTTACCACTGTGCAACTTTTCTCCTTTTTGTAGGATCCCCCTATGGAGGAAAAAGATGATGTCATGCATTTCTTGCTGCATTCTCTGTGTGGAGAATGGTTTTGAATAGTGTGCTATCCACTGTTGTAGTTTTGAAATGAATTCATGTTGTTGCTCGTTCTGTGGGTCCGGGTGGTTGGACCGAAACTCTGGAGAGTCCTTGTTTAATCTGTCTAGGAGGACTGGAGAGAAAGGGTCTGTAAGAGATCTTGGTACCTCAGGACAGATTTCAGACTCGATAGATGTCTTACCCAAGCTACTGCTTGACAGTACGGGAAATCTCATATCAGTTTCTCCTTTTCTCCCTGGTGGTTTTGTTTAACAGTGTGCTCTGTAAGAAAAGAGAAGCTGTTTTCCAGTTAAAAAGATCATTCTCTGTTGGTATTGCCTCTTTATCTGTCATATTAGACCAAGTACTCTTTTAAAAAAGAGGAAAAAGTGCAGCAATTACAGTGGTGATCTGACCGCTATTACTGTCAAAACCTTTCTCTACGAGCTTATACACTTGTATACTTATTTTAAATAGGCATGATCTTGCTGCGTAGTATAGCTTTCTCTTCAAACTTTTTTTTTCTTTGTAGCTTACTAAGGTTTGGAATAACTACTAAGTAATCATACTGCCTTATGCTGTACTTTGGTGATACACTGTTCTTGGCAGCTGTACTGAGTTTGAGGAGTTCCCCATTCTGAGCAGGAGAATATCATTATTTGTGTGAACCTGAACTCCGTTCTGAAGTACCAAGATCTCTTACAAACCCTTCTTCTCCAGTCCTCCTAGAGAGATTAAATGAGGAGTCTCCAGAGTTTCTGTCCAGCTGTGAACTGGATCAAGGATCCTGCCTAAGCACTTTCTTCCAAGGTGTTTCTTTCAGTTGGATGGATTCTCCCATTCAGGTCAGAATGTAGCCCCACAAACACTTTGTGACTTAGCTGAGAAGGTGATAAGCAGCAGCCCTGACAGAGGAACGAGTGCTTAGTGAGAGGGACCAGAAGTTTCTTAAATCAGTGTTGCTGCTGAAGCCAGCATATGGTTAAACCTTAGCCTCAGTTTTCTCCAACAAAAATGTATAGTCTCGTCTTCTGGTGTTCTGAAACTAGGCAGTCTCAGTTTGAGCAATGTAGAAATAAATTTTCCTTGGTAACATTGTTATTTCTGATTCCAGTGTGTGTTTGTTTTCCCGTTCATCCTAATTAAAATGGGAAAATGAATTTCTCAGTGTTTTACTGTCTAGAGCATAAGGCAGGGATTTCCAACACTTACAGCCGTGTGGGCTGCCACATTACTCTGCCAGTGGAGTTCAGTAGTGTGCAATAGCCCTTTTCCAACCAAGGGCTTCCAGTGCAGTTGCAGGGATGTAGGCCCTTATGCGTTAAGATGCTTGTTGCTGGGGCTGGGTGGCCAGGACCTGGCTGCTTCCAAAACAGTTCCCAAGCTGACTCTCAAATGCTGACTTATGGAAAGCTCCATGTTACATTGTGAATTGTGTGAGTTGTCCCACAGGTCCCATAAAGGAACAGGAGAAGTCTTGCGTCCTTTCCTTTCAGTGCTTCTTCAGACTGGTATTGTCTAGACTCTTGCATGGCCGAATCTTTTAAAGAACTGAGAAAATCCTCGTGTCTGTATTGGCATAGTGAAATAAGATGGGGTCTCTTGTTTGCGTAATTTAAAGCAAATTAATGAAAATAAAAATTTCACAAAATGTGGCCCTCGTTTTGCAGTGAACTGTTTTTTTCCTGTCCCCCCCCCCCCCCCCCCCCCAATGTTTCGTGACCACCGTCCAGCTGTCTGGGTTCTATTGCAGAATCTGTATCTACTGTATGTAAGTATATGATTATTTTACTAAAGGTATTTTGTGAGTGTAGGGACTATATTTATGCCACAGGGAAAGTGTTAAGGGATGCTTGGAATCTCTCTTAGGAAAAATGGAAATTATTTTTGCAGAAATGTTGTCTTTCATGGAAATTTAATTTTCTTCCAACTCCTGTCTGGGTTCTATTGCAGAATCTGTATCTACTGTATGTAAGTATATGATTATTTTACTAAAGGTATTTTGTGAGTGTAGGGACTATATTTATGCCACAGGGAAAGTGTTAAGGGATGCTTGGAATCTCTCTTAGGAAAAATGGAAATTATTTTTGCAGAAATGTTGTCTTTCATGGAAATTTAATTTTCTTCCAACTCCCTCTTCTTTTTTCCAGGTGGATGCACGGAGCATACCAGTGTTAGCAAAATGGCAAAATTCTTATAGCATTAAAGTTGTACTTCAAGAGCTAAGACGTCTAATGATGTCCAAAGAAAATATGAAGCTTCCACAACCTCCAGAAGGACAAACTTACAACAATTAATTTTAGCTGATTCTCAAACTTCTGTCTTAAAACAACAACCTTCTACTCATGTTAATGTCTTGATTAAATCTCACAAAGCAAACACCCACACATTAAAAGAATTTCAGCTGGTATACATGACCTGGACATTTGTAAGAATATATATAATATATGTATGCCCAATATGTTTTCAGGCACTATGGGAGAAAAAGGCAGCACAATTATTTTTTTTCTCTTATCAAGGCACTGTCATTTAAGCATAAGCCTGAAATAGCCTAAGATTGGAATTCAGGTTTAACAAGATGAAAGCATGACAGAAAGTGTCAGATTGCTGTGGAATAATATATGTTTCTGATAATAATCTCTTGAGAAGGCAAAATATAAATGGCATGCTTTATCCATCTTGCTTAGTAAAAGAGCTGCAGTTAAATTTGTTTTAAAGTAGCAGGTACAGTGAATACCGTTGCTCATCTTGTTTAATTTTTGCAAAGGTGTGGGTGCCGACTACTAGTAGTGTCACAGAGTATGTTCAGGATTGTTTTGATACCTGTATTTATAAAATGGGGGGATTAATTTCTGTTAAGCAGCTCCTGTGTGTTACATGTATCGGACATGGCAAATATTTGTTTACAGTCTTTGTTCTAATAAACCATGCATTTAAGTTTTAGTGAAACAAAGGAAATGTATGGATATGTGATTGAGATTAAAGTTAGTCTTAAAATGTAAATAAAATGTGGAAAGTGTCTGAGGCTGTGCCATTTCTATAATAGTGATGTAATATATGTACAGTAACTTGCAGAAGTAGTGGAAAGCCAAACATAATATTGCTGCTGGTTTAACATGCACCTTTTATTCTGACCGCTTTTTGTATGCTTAGTTTACTTGATAGATCAAGATATTTTGTTTGTTGCAGAGGAGTAAGTTCTGTTGTCTGCAGCACCGCTTCTTTGGACAAACTTGCACTGTATAAAAACAGCCCTCCTGCTCACTCCCCCCAGATTCTTTTGAGAAATGAGTGTAACTCTTTCACTTGGCTTACTTGACCTCTGAGCAATTTTCAGACCACATTGTTGAAATCTGTCCTACTTCTCAGTCCTTTGTCTCACTTTGGCAGCTGCTAACTTGACTCTTCCTTTCTTGCATCTTTTCTTCTTTTGTATTTTTTTCCTCCTTTTCCCTTCCTGTACCATTTTTACCTTGTCTCAAATACCTTTTAAAAAAAAAAAAAGAAACTTCAGGACGCTTTAATTTAAAAAAAAATATATATATATACCTGTGATACAAGTTGTATTTCCATCTGCATTGTATACATCGGATGCCAGTATACTACTGTCATATTAGTTAGAATGCTTTCTGCCTCTCCTGTGACTGTTGTTCTGTTTTTTTTCCCATACATTCCGTCTAGTGGGAACAATGGTTTTAATTCTGTTAATGATTTCTCATAAGAAAGTAGCTTATTCTATCCTTTTGAAAATGATATATTTTTTTCTTTTGCTTTTCCTCTTGGAAAAATGCAAGCTTTTGCTCATTTAAATGAGAAAATGTAACATTGGGAGTGAGTCAGCTGTTTGGTATTCAAAGTTTTATTACTGGTTCTCTTGAAAAAGTGAGTATAATCAACTTTATTTAAGTTGGAAGTTTAGCTTTACATTTAAGTTAACTTCAAGTTTGGTATGCTTTTGCATATTTGTGATGTAAAGGGCAAATCTTTAAAAGCAATAAACTAGGTGTTCTTTTTTAACGGAAAGGTTTAATTCATATTTGTCAGTTTATACTCTTTAGACAAATTTGGCTCTTCCAGAATTGGTGGAATTGTAGCGGCCAGCTACCTCTTGTCTGTATTTATATAACGTATCATCTGTGAAAGTTTGGCTGAAGTGCATTGCAACATCTTCCTACTTGATTTAATTTGAATGATTTTGATGCCATTAAATACTTTTTTCTTACACTAACATTGCTAATCTATATTTACTCAATTTGTATAGTGGAACTGTGTATTTGAGATGTGAATTTTGGGGAAAATTTCAGCACAAACTATTGAGAGAATGAGAAATACCACTAGACTTGCACGGTTGGTAACATAATTTAAGAGACTTGACTTATTCATGGAATATGGAAAACGACTGGCTCACTTAATTGTATGAGGCGCAAGTTGATCCTGAAACAGTTATTTTCGCTTGTCTGTACGTTGACCTTTCGTACCTGTACAAACAAACGTATTTTCAACTGTAAGCAGATACTTTTTTGGGGGGGGGGGCAGTTAACCTGAGTTGGAACACCTGCATATGTAACATAAAGGATGACTGTAAAAACATTCCTGCAGTCAATTTGAGGTGTTTTGGTTATTCATTTTGCTTACACGGGGAAAAAGTGTAAATATAATGCAAAATGAAACTTTAAAGTGTCTTAGAGTACTGCATACAGTTTAGAGCTTTCCCGAAACTCTTTTATTACCTGAATATTTCAAAATACAACTACTTATTGTCCTCCACGCAGGTCATATTGTTTTACAAGTATCCATGGTAGATCAGCATTTACTTAGTAATTTGTTTCCTCACATTTTTGTGATTTCTCTTGGGTAACATTCTTAAAAGACAGAATTTTATTTTTCTTCTAAATAATTCACTTATGTTCTGTTTAGCAGGATTTGAATTTGCTGCTGTCAGCAACTGTGCATATAATTCTTTCAAACTGTATTTGTACATCTTGCAAAGCGTAGCACCATTTTTAAGCCAGTTTTGTGAGGAGGAAAGCTCAAAAGTTCTAAATATAACATGCTTTCAAATTGCTTTTGAAAAACCATGTCATATCACGTTAGTGATCTTGAACTGACATTTGAACTAGTTTTGTGCTCTGAAGAGTTGCCAAAGTTCATGTGTTTGGGTTGTTTGGGTATGGGACAAGTTTACTATGAAACAAGAAGATGGTATGACTCAGCCTTCATAAACCTTAAGATATTGAACTGTCCTGTGGAAATACCCACATATTACAAATAATGTGCCTTCCTCATTTATAATGAAGTACATACAAAGATGCATGTTATGCACCCGCCAACTGCCTTGATAGCACTGATCTTCCTAAAAGCGATCGAAGTTGAGAATACGTGACAGATTAAGTCAAGAATGAATCCCTCAACTATGATTAAGAAATAGTTGCTTATTCTGTACTGCTCCTAAATGTTTATTATACCTAAAATAAAATTATAGTGAATCCTGTTGAGTTGATCAACCATCACAATTCAAGAGAAAATATTTAATTTAGACAAACGTTTATTTTTTTAATCGGTTACTTTGAAGTATATTGTATGTGAATTTGTGAAAATACATTATTTCCTATTTAGTGCTTTTGGAACAATTATTTTAATCGAGGCTTAAAAATACTCATTACAACTACACAAAGGATTGTGTAGCAGGCCACTTGATAGGTCTCCTAGGACAGTGGCAGGATAGCTGAATATTACTTGCATTTTTTTCTGGCCTCTAGCTGTTGAAAATTCAGCCAGATTGCCCCTGATCTGGCTATAGTCTCAGCTGCTGGCGAACAAAGAATAAACTAGTAGTAAGCAAGTCTTTTTAGTACAAAAACCACGTATTCAGATGACTTGAAACTACCATTGGTCTGTTTCTTTTGTGCCTGTAAAATTCCAAATAGAGAAGCAGTGGGACAAAACCCTGTTTATCAAACTCTTCTAAATAATGTATTCTAAGTAATGTAATATTTTTGTGAAGCCTCGGAAGGTTTCCAAGATGGGGAGGTATTTCCCACTTGGTAAAACATGATGCATGTCTCTTTCCCCCCTGCTTTAAAACAGTGGTTAATGCGTCTGTGGTGACTCCACGTAATGAAACAATTGTAGAGGAAGTTTTTTTTTTTTTTCTTCCCTATTTTGATGATTGCATTATTCCCCAAAACAGTAGGTAAATACTTTTTCTATTGCAGACCTAACTGATTATGAGCTACTTCCGTAGGAATGAGTACACTATTCAATGGTTAAAACAATAGCTTTGTTTATAACAGTTTGTACTAAATTAATCTGTACCTTCTGCTCAGTTACTAAACAGTTGTAGATGAGTACACGGTGAATTCCATTCTGTGAATTAAGTATCTTATGCCTACTCTAAAGTAGCATTTTCTCATTTCGGTAGTTCTGTGAAGCTTTTCAATCTTGACCATTTAACTAGTGAAAAATATAAAAAGCTTTTTATTGCTTATACTGCTGCCAAACTATATAGACAGATAACTTAATGAATGATGTTGAGATAAGAAACAAATATCAAGAGATCCGAAGCACTGGTTATAATGCATGTTTTCTGTACTAATTCATGACTTTTCACCATTTCTTACAGAAGCAACCCAACCCTCTACTTTTAATATATACAGTATGGATCAAATGTAAACATGATTTTTATAATGTATAAACTACGCAGCTCAAAATTTTTTAACATATTGTATATTTATTAACTGATAAATGCTGAGGAAATGGCTATGCAGACATAAACAAGGAGTAGGTTTTCATCAACTGCTTTGTGCTTATTCCCACTCTGTTTCCCAGTGCTTATTGTGGGTTTATAGGTACGTTGATTTGGCCTGTTTTCACTTTGCAGTAGTGTTATACAGAACATTGATACAACTTTTTTTTTTACCCCTATAGGAAAGAAAAGGGGAAGGGGTGGGGGGGAAGATTTGCTTTCTCTCCAGAATTTCAGCTGACTAAAAATTCTCAGGAAAAGAAACCTGGTGGAGGTAAAGACATCCATTACTGACTTGAGAGTAGACCATGAAAAGTTGGCTAGTATTTTTACATTGTCACAGGAATAAAAGCTGTTAGCAATTAGGATGAACACAGGTGAAACAGTAGAACTGTGAAATTATCAAGAGGATATAGAAGAGGATGCTCTCTGAGTTACCTAGGCAGTCTTCTCCGTGTCATGGAAAACATCAGGTTGAAATAGGAGAGAGGGTTCAGCGCTACATCTCCCAATCACGTTGAGGGATGAACTAGCACTTACAGTTCCTTGAATTCAGCCTGAAAGAATGACTTAAGTCAGTTCCATTCACCTCCTTTTTTTGGGGGTAATGTTGTGCTTAAAAATGTTAAAAGTTATGGCAAAGTACAGTGGGATGAGATAATTGTTTCTTTTAGTTTTTGGTATGCAAAACATGTCACTGTTGAGAGACTCTGTGAACCAAAACCATGGGAATACGTGATGTTGGCAGCTGAGTGTTTAGTTTCTAGGCTAGCGTAAGTGATTTGTCACACATGGCTGTAAGTTTAAATGTATATCTGCATTTAAAAGAGGCAGTGATATTAATGAGAAAAATCTATGCTGAAAGCTGTTTGCTTTTGCCACAACATCAGAAAAGCTGCCTGTAACCTTGACCACTACCTTTTCTGGGCTACAATTTTGTCCACTATTGATCTGCATGATTAAACTGAAATTTCAGGAGTGCATTATTTCTGATCTTCTGGGTCGGCACTTTGAACTGTGGAACCTTCCACTTCTGAGAAATCTTTAAAGTAACTCTTTGCTACAGGAAATTCGTTACTTTCAGTATTGGGGGGCACAGTCATAGTCATCTTGATTTCTATTTTTTTTCGACTGCTTCCTGTTTTATTTAAATGTCTTTTTGTGTCAGGATTTGCAGATTAAGTTTATGATCCCATGTGGTAGTACTAACCTGCAACAATATACTAGACTTGTTACGGTCTTATCAGAAACAGCTTATTTCAAACAGCTATGTGCT